ACTTTGCCATTATCATTAGTTGTTAGCGCAGCTGCCTTATTAATTTCTCATTAGAACCCAATTCGTAGGCCCTCTGTGGAGAGACTGGGAGCCAGGGTGCAGGCTGCCCGGGTCTGGAACCCCTGGAAAGAGGTGCACCGGGCAGCGGCCACTAGGAACTGGCTTGGAGAACGGGACAAAACCGTCCCAGGGGAAGAGGACAGAGTCAGAGAGGGGGAGCTCGGGAAGAAGGATCTGCGCCCTATTCCCCCTCACAAAGACAGAGGGACAGGCAGCAGAGGCAGAAGCCTGGAGAGCTGCAGGGCCAGGATCGAGCTGGGCAAGTGAGGACCTCACAAAGTCATGCAAGCTCAGATTAAGGACCGAATAAGGGAGCTTCTTAGACTGCATACCGTCTGCTGCATCTGCCTCCTCAGTCCCAGCCCAGCACAGCAGAGCGGAGGCAGGGATTGGCCCTGCTTGGGTACACAGAGTGGAAAGCTGTCAATGTCTATTCTACATTGCCTTTCCTGGGTGACATCTTGGAGGGACAGAAGTCTGCTCTCCCCTAGTGTCACCCAGGAGAGGGTCCATTTGCAATGGTTTGTGAGCATCAATTCATTAATCCTTGCAGTTACTCAGTCAAGCAGGGAAGGGCTCGTGGTAGCGTTTCCTTTTATATACAAGGACATAAAGCTATGGAGAAGTTAAGGAACTTGGCTAAGGTCACCCAGCTTGCAAGATGTGAGCTAGCATGTGACCGAGGGCTCAAGGGTAGGTTCACGGTTACACCCTAACAGACAGAAGAAATGAGAGATACTGGCTCTGGGGTTTGGAGCTGTCCTTTAACCTCTTGGAGCCTTGATTTCTTCATCTTGACATGTAGTGGCTCACAAAACTTACATTCTCAAACAGGGCAGACTCTGGGTTCCTTGTTGAACTGTTCCGTCCTTCAGCTGAGAAGTTATTTAACCTTAACACAGAGCTGAAATAGATCTCATCTTACACACCAGGAAACTCAGGCCCAGAGCAAAAGGGATGATCCAAGAATCCTAAGCTGCTTAGGTCCTTGGTGAGGGCTAGAGTTCACGCTTTTGAACTCCACTTTCAAGCCTGGTCATTATTTAAGGTACAAGGATTGTGTCCTAGCACGCTACAGAGCCCAAGGCCATGTGAAAATCATGTGAGCTGTAGACCTCTCTGCCCCAGTGCCGCTAACCAGCATTCATCCCAGGTGGAGGCAGCATCATTTTGCAGGGAGGGTTGGATGGAATATTGTAGCCCCAGGTACCGAATGATTCCGTCTGAGCTGGACCCCAGCGGGTCTCCTTTCACACCTACCCACTCCTCTTGATTTTTCTCCTCTTGCTCTCAAGCAGCATAATGAGGCTATTTTGGAACCAGGGAGCCATGGGTTTGAATCCTGGCCCCAGCATTTTCGTGCTTAGACATGTTATATAACCCAGGTGAGCCTCAGTTTCCTCATCTGTAACATGGGGATGGGGGGACTTCAGTCTGCTGGCTGGATAAGCAGCAGAGACAATGCTGTGTGCTGCCCAACAGAGTGCTGTTATGCGTGAGGTGACCCAGGCTGGGTCTCATCCCTCCCTGCATCAAGAATCCCCAGGCCAGGGGCTATGCACAGTGGATTATCCACCTACAACTAGAGGGAGAAGCCACATGGGACAAGATAGGTTTACCAGCAAGAGAAGGATCCTTTCCTCACCTCACTGCAGCTACCAGGCCAGGAGAAACTGTCTTTACTTGCTGAGATGAACATTTTCCTCAAGGGCCAGGAACTTTCTAGGACTTTCTAGGGTTCCCGTAGAGCCCTTAATTTAGGGCCCAAAGGACTGCAGACAGTGGTTTCCACTTTATGGCAGTATGAAGGAAAGTACATCTAGATCTGCAAAGCCATGTGCAGTACCAGGGGCCCATTGTGGTTTAGGGGACCAGCAGCTGGTGGCCACAAATCAACAAACCTAAGTCCTCCCCCTCCCTCATTCAGCCCTTCAGGGTGTCCCATTTCTTGGCCATGGGACTGTGACCACATTTGTGCAGCTTAGCAGCGCCAGCAGCCCAGTGAAAGATGGTGGGGACATGGTAAGAACTGTGGCCATGGCCATAGCCAGGAGGTGCCTGGAGCTCAGGGTGACCCATGGCTTTGAGAAGGCAAAAGGAGCAGAGCGGGAATCTCACTGTGTGAGTTGACAGAGAGACAGGAGAGGGTGCTGGCTCCATGCTGAGCATTTTCCCAGGAGAGCATGTGGGAAGCCGTTGCATTCTGTGGCTTGCTTTTTCTCTCCTTAAAATGATAACATGGAATATTAATTGCAGTAGTAACCAGCACTGATTTGAAGTGTGTTATATATAGGCACTGGCTAGGTACACTGGCATTTATGAGCTCAAGAACATAGGGTGAACATAGCAAGTAGGGATTATTAAATACATTTTATAGATGAGGTACCTGAGCTGTGTAAGCCTCAGAGAGGGTCAGTTGTTTCCCTAGGGATCAAGGACAAACGTGTAGTCCCAGTGTGGTCCAGCTGCAAAGCCCACCTTCTCACCAGGTCACGTGGTCAGCCCTGTAATGTGTCCTCTCCAAGCCTTTCACCTACATCTTGGATCTCACCAACTGCAGAGTCCTGGGTGTCCCTCATGCTTGGCCAGGCTTCCATGTGTCATTAAACCTGGGTCATTATTGCCAGCATTGTCCAGAGTGATCTAGAACCCTTGAGATTGCAGTGTAGGGGAAAGAAAAGTTCAGGGTTGTGTGCCAGGCAGAAGGTTAAGGTGCCTGGGTGCACAAGGCCCCTTCTACCTGCTTCTCGGGCTGTGAATATCTGGAGACAGGGAACAGGCCATCTGAGGTCCTCCTTGCAGCATGTGGAAAATACCAGGCTCAATTTGTCCTTAGTGAAGGTCTTCTGCCCTCTACAGGTGCACATGGTATGGCCACACCCATCCTGCAGCTCTAGGGCAGGAGGATCCTTGTGGGGCTGAGGCAGAGACCATATAACTGTCTGCTCTGGTTCCAGGGAGGACCACTCACCCTGTGTTCCATGCTGGGTTTTCGACTGTATGAGCAGGGGTGTGTACATACTGTGCGTTAGAGTCTAAGTCTACGACTTTTGGATTCCTGTCATGCCCAAAGCAAGGAGTATCTCAGTCACGATGACTTCCCTTCCATTCCCTTTTTCATGGGCACAGCCAACCCAGGAGGCAGTGTCATCACATCTCAGGGGCTCTCAACTCTGGAAAGTTCCTATTATCTACATAAACTTAGGGCTTAGAGCAAAATGTCCTACCCTGCCCCTGCCACAACCTGGAATCAGTGGTATCCTGTGTGGCATTTCCAATTGCACACACAGGCACACATACACATGTGCACATGCTGTAACCCTCCATATCATTCTCTCCTGGACACAGACCCACCCAGACTTGTGCATCCATACACACACACAAATGCATGCACACAATTGGGAGCACATACTACAAATACATGGATATATGCATATGCACACATTCATGTGCACACACAGATACATGCAATGCAGAGCTACATACTTGCACACACATATATTTCTCAAATGCACAAGTGAATGGAAAGGAAGACTGACTCAAGTATATGCTCCAGCACATGTACATGTCCATGTGCACACACTTGCATATATATTCATTCTCCTTGTACACACAAGGAAAAGGTAGAATGACCCTCACAAGCATGACTGCATATACTGGTGTCTACACACGCACATGCAATCTTTGTGAAGGTCCAGTCACACCCTGCCCTGCACACTGAATCATCAGATGGGCTAAATGAAACTCCATGGGCATCCTGGGGAAATGACAGCCGCTCACAGCCCAGTGCTGGGAGCCCAGGTTTGCTGCTGTGGCACGGGTTGGGCATGAGCTGGATGTCTTTGATTTATGGGACAAGCATCCTTCACTTTGATTACGGCTGTTTTCTATAATTACTATCAACGCTCTGCCTCATATGAGATTTGCTCTTAGATTTCTCTCCATTGCTTCTGAGTAGCAAGCTTGGTCTGCATTAGCTGCGTCTGCCCCTATATGAGGCTCTAGATGAGGGAGTGTCCCTTTTTGTGCAATTTTAGAGCTCACTAAGAATTCCCACGCCCCTATATCCTGAAATATGAACTTGGACCTCCCCCACTAACAGATTCAGAAGGAAACAGCCTCTAATGCGTCCCTTTTCCAGCAGACAGCAGATAATAGAGGAAGGGACAGGTCTGAGTAGGGGATGCTGAGTCATGGGGCAAGGCCCTCATCCCCAGGGTTCCTTTGACACCATCTTTTACAGCTGAGACGGTCTTCCTAGAGACTGGTGGTACTGGGGAGAAGGCTGTCACCCCCACAGGTTGGAGGGGGCCTGCCACTTGACCCTTTGCCCACTCAGCCCATCTGGCAGCACTGACTCATCATTTCGCTCTCCGTGTCTGAGCTCTGGCTTACCCACTTGAAACTTCCCCTAAAAACTCCTGAGGATCACTAGGGCCTCAAGCTGCCCCAGGGCCAAGTGAGCCAGAGCACAGAAAAGTCAAGGTCAGGGGAGCTCTGGGAAGTCTGCTAACAAGAGTTTAGCAGCTTGTAAGGTTGAAATTGGTCATTCTACAGAGACCTCCCCATGTCTGAAGCAGCTTTGCAAAAAGTCAGTGGCAAAGCCCCTGCTTTCAAGAAATCAATGGCAGCTCCTATTTAAAGAGCACAGGGAGATGTCACCCTCTTCTGGAACCAAGAGTGCCAGGGAGCTCTAGACTGGCCTTTCACAGGGTCACAGAGCCAGAACATGCACGAGCCACTAGTCCGCTGTGTGGCCTTGGAGAGCTCCATCCTTTCTCAGTGTTGGTCCTACCACGGGTAAGATGCAGGGACCTGCTTGGACGGGTGGGAAGGGCAACCACTGGCCCAAGGCAGAGGATTTGGCTCTGCCCAAGGTGCGACTGGTGGGGGTGGACCCTGAAGATCTGTTGTGGGCCCCATGTCCCTGTCATACTCACAGGCCACCTGGACCTCCGTCTGCCGCTGCAGCAGGGCCCCCATCCGGTTCCGTACAACACAGCGGTAGAAGCCAGCGTGGGTGCGGTCCAGGCTGGTGATCATATACCTGCGGGGCAGATAAGACAGCCAGTGAACAAGACAGGCAGGGCAGGATACAGAGGTCAGCCTGGGGTCAGGGTCACCTTTTTGGAATTAAGAGCACCAGGGAGCTCTTGACCACCCACAACCCCCACTGCCCTGGCTCTGCCATGGGACCACAGGAAAGTCCTTATAAATAGTGGGTCCTTCCCATAGGCCGTGGGTCTTTGCAGAGCCTTCTCCAGAGGGGCCATGCCTGAGTCCTTGATTCTGAGGTGGCCAGGCTGCCTGGGGCTGTGTTAGCTCTCTTAGAGATTGCTGACCTTCCCTGTCTGCCTCTTGGAGGGTGATGTCCTCCCCTGCATGTGATGCACATGACTGAGAGGGGTGAGGGCATCTGGATTTGGATTATTGGGCTGTGCTGTAATATTAATTGAAATGGGTGGTGGTGACAGAAATGGGGAAATGTGTAAATTGCTCTGTTCCTTCCTTAACATCGTAGGCTGCTCCACCACAGCCTGGCAGAAGGAAGGCAGAGCCTTCTGCAATAGGCCACATTCTGCATGCATGATACCAAGCCAGTCCTTTGGTTGCTGGCTCCAGACACACTTGTCACCCAGAGAGTCTGGTGTGAGGAGAAGGCAGCTGGAGAGCAGGTGTATGCTGGGCTCACTGATGGAGAGGGCCCATAGGAGGGGTCTCTGACAGTGAAACATAGGGGGCTGGGACCCCCAGTGTGGAGGGGACTGGGGACCAGGCCTTAGTTGTCCTGGTGATCCTGGGTGGTTATTTTTCTCATTCCTGGACAGTAGTCTATCAAGGCCCTGAGAAGGATAAGGAGTTAGGGTTAAGATGTCTTTCCTCAGCCCTTAGGTGTCCGAGAGTTTGCCTGGCTGCTTTGGTGGACGAGCTCATTGTCACGTGTCCCCAGGGCATGTCAAGCCTGGGATTCCCAGAATGGCTACTTTTACTTTACAAGAGTCCTGGCCACATCTATCAGTGTGACATGATCTTCACCACCATCATCACTTTCCCAGTGTTGACACACCACCACCCACCTCTGCACACTCTCTCTGCTTTGGACTCTGTATTAAGTATTTTTCATACATTTCTTCATTTCACACGGCAGTTCCCAGACTATTGGATATCATGGACCAGTAACACTTGAAAAAATGGGGATCGTCATAAGACTGTCAGCTTTCTACTTTGCCAAGATCATTAAAACCAGCCAACCAAACAAAAAAACAGAATCAAGCAACAAACACTTAAAAAAATAAAAGGAATAATATTAAAAAGTGCCAGGGAGAGAAAAATAAATAGATACGGTCAGCATTTTATTTAAAAGGGACATTTCTGAGATGGCAAAACAAAAACCTAGTTTCAGCATAAAGGAAACTTTAAAAAAGTTTTATCTTTAGATTTTAGGCAAAGCCCCCACACTAGTCCAATATTTCTTATTGTATGTGTATAGCTACCAACTGTCATAGCTCTCGGCATTTGACAACCTTTGATTTAATCCTCACACTAGCACCAGGGAAGAGGGAGTACCCCATTTCAGAGGAGGAGATATTGAGGTTCTTAAATACCTTGGCACTGACCTGTAGTTTCACATACAATAAGAGGCAGGGCCAGGGGCTCCCTGAGCCTGACTCCAAGCCTGAATGTGAGCTAATCCATGCTGAGATCAGGTCCCAAAGGACCCCAAAGGCCATGCTAGGTGTGCCCATACCTGGCTCGCAGCTGGGCAGGTGCTGAGTTCACTCTGGCTCTGTGGCATCATCCAGCACCTCCTGGCAGCCCATGCCCCTTATCACTGCCAGTGGCTGTCCGTCTCACCTGTCCCTTGGTACTGTGCACAGTGCAATGAACGGGAGACAGCAGGCACGCAAGCTCTGGCAAATCTGTCTCCTGCTTTCCCTTCATCCTCAGCCTCAGCCCAAGTGCTCACTCTTGCTGCTGCTCCATCTCTCCCAGGCGAGAAGGCAGTCTGGGGGAAAGTGCTTGGCTCTCTAAAGAGATGGGCGACCTGAGGGGGCGGTGAAAGCCGAGATAGGCTGGAAGGGCTCTCTACCTTTAGAAATGGAATCAGATAGAATTAAAAAGCACTGGGGTGGGGGAGGAAAATAAATAGAAATGGCTGCTAAACTCATGAAAAGATGCTCAGCCTTTGTTGTGATGAAAGAAATTTGAAGCAAAGCAAGATAATGTTCCCTCTAAGTCAGACTGTCAGTGACTTTCAGAGAGAGCCAGTGTAGGTAGGCAAGAGTGCTGCGTGCATCCGCAGGTCTGCTGGTGGCACTGTCATAGGGCTCAGCCCTGGGGAAACACCTCTCCCAGCCTGAATACTGAACTCTCTGACCCAGGAGTTACCTCCCGGGAATTGGCCTTTTGGATACACTTGCAACAATGTGATAAAAGTATGTGGAAAGATGTTCCCAGTAGCCTTAGTTTTAATCACAGCGATAAACAAAGAAAAATTGGACACAAACTAAATTTTCATCCACATAGAATTGGATCAATAAAAAATGCTGCAGCCCTGCAATGAATGAATACTCATACAGGGTGAAACAGAAAGTTCTCCAAGAGGTACGTGGGTGTGAGGAAATTATGGGAACAAAGTCAGAAGGTCACACAGGGGCTAAAGAAGATCATATTGGCCACTAAGAACAAGAATAATAATGGCATAGCACGAGTTGCCATTGAGTAATTCACACTCCCAAATCCTGTTCTGTGTTTTGGATCATGCAAAGTGACCCAATAAAAACAACCCAATAAAAACTACCCCTCAAAAGCCAAAGAGTGCTATGATGATATGATAGTATTTGGTACGTTACCATTGGAGCACATTGAAATAGTGTGTATATATATGTGCAAATATACAAATGCATGTAGTATAATCACATGAACACATCCACGTGTACATAAAATTTTTCTGAGATGGAGCATCCGGAATGTGTTATCGCTCCTTTGGGAGAAGTATCCAGGATGAGCAGGGAGGGGAAATTCTATCTTCTGATTTTATGTCTTTCTGTACCATCCGAGTTTTCTTTATTGTACACATATACTGCTTTTATTTTAAAAATAAAGTTTGAAAAATGCACTTTGTGTGCATAATTTAAATATACATTATAAAAACGGCACGAGGGACTCGTTGGACCTGGACTTGTTTGCTGATGCCAGTGATGCGTGGTGAAATTTCAACTTTAATAAGTCAGTGTTTGTGGAAGTCTCTGCCCATGTATCTAAGCCAGACGCCACCTGGGGCCGTGAAGAAGGTGACAGGCTGTTGGTCTGTCCCTTCCGCAGGCCTCCCTCTGCCCCTTTGTGACAGGAGGCAGATGGCCTGCCAGCAGTGCCGCGCAGCTCCACCACTGCTCCCCTAACCTCCCTTTCCCTCTTCCCGAGCTTCCCCTGGCCCATTTGGGGCTCACAGGTGACATTATTTAAAGGAGCAGTTCCACCCACTATCTCTCATACCCACTCTCTTTCGTAGCAGACAGCCCACTTCACTCTACACAAACTGCAGTTCAACTCCCGGCACCCAGCTCGGGGAAAGAGGCAGTTGGTTAGTCTTTTGCCCGGTGAGCCCAGCACCCAGGAAACACTCCTGACAATGACACACAAGGACACACTCAGTCTACAGCTTCGCCCACTCCACCCACCCATGGCCGCTGGCCAGGCCGGGAACTGCATAAGCCCAGCCCTGTTTGTGTATCCACCTGGGACAGAGATGGAAGCAATGGCTTCCAGACCTAACCCACGCGGCAGGAAGTGCAGCATGGGAGCATCAGGACTCCCAAATAAGAGAGCCGTCACCTTGACTTTCATTTCTGCCCATTCTGGGAAATTTAGGAACCCGTGCACGCTTCAGTTTCCATAACTGTAAAGTGGGAATAATAATGGTCTCTTTGATGGAGCTTCTCCAAGCAATGTGCAATGTGCATCACCAGGCGTTAAGCAAATTCTTATTGAATGAGGGAGCAAGCATAAGTCATTGGGGGAAGATACCGGGTGGGGCGTGTGTGGAGAGGCGCAGGGGAGGAACAAGGTGGTATAGCAGAAGCCTCCCTGCCTGAGTGGGCATCCACTAAGGACTTTATGCCCAGCCTCAGAGGAACAAGATTCCCTCACCAAAATATTCCTGGCCTTCCAGCCACGTCCATTTGCACCCTCAAGGTGTAAGCCAGGGAGAGGAGCCTGATGGCTGCTCCACGGACAGCCTCTTCCTCACTGACCAACAACTTCATGCTCCACCTAATGAGGAGTCCCAGTGGTGTGGCTCCAGGGGCCAGGGTACATTGGGACCTACCCAGTCCCAGGGCCTCTTAAAGAACAACTCACTCATTTGTTATTATATTATTCAATATAAGTATTGCCACATGCTTCAAAATTCAAATACAAGGGAAAGTACACAATAGGAAGTCCCTCCCAACCTGGGCTCCAGCTGCCCATCATCCCTGGAAGAAACATACTGCTATTCATTTCCAGGAGTATCTTTCCAGGAGTTCTTTGTGCAAACGCAAGCAAATTCAAATTTCAATACTTCCCCTTTATAAACTGGAGACTCAGCGTCCCTTTCTGCCCCTTATTTTGTGCAGGTGACAGCGTATCTTGGAGATCTTCCCATAGTGGCACTCAGAGCCTCCTCTGGCTTTGTGACAGCTACAGAGAGTGGATGAATTTTTGGATGCAGAGAGCTTTTTTCTCTCCCAGTTAGATGGTCCAAGAGAGGTCTAGAGGCTGGGGTAGGGAGGGGAGGCAAAGGAAATTACACGGAGAACCCACACCCACCCTTCTTGTCTTTGCATGAGTATCCTGATTTAGCCTGGCAGCAGGTGGCTGGTGAGTACACTGTTCCGAGATAAGGAGAGGGGCTCAGGGTGAAGGGCATGGCATGCCAGTGGGGTGAGAAACTGGGACAGATAATTGGATTTTTAGAGACAAGAAGAGAGGGGAGAAAATAACTGCCTAACAAATGTGGCATCTTCTCCAGCACACAGGGAAACACACAATGCCCTTTTTGGTTCG